AATAATTGTCACATTACCCATAAAACGTCTTGTGCATCAACTAATTTTTCATAGAATAGCATTTGTAGACGCCACTACTGGAATAATATTTTTTTATCACACCCTGGACTATCACATGACATCTAAACTTAACACCGTGTATATTGAACTGATTGGCTTTTTCTAATGCTTCTTCAAAGAATCCAAGTGCATCATTGCCATCAAGAGCAACACGGAAAGGGTTTTCTCTAAAATAATTAAGATATTTTTAAATATTTTTTTTTTGGCAACTGTACTTTGGGGAGAATAACAAGCAAGAGTAAATTCAACACAGCCTGTCATACCTGCTAGAATTACACGAAATCACACAATTCATTAACATCTTCTATCGGACAACAGCGAGGTCGTGTTTCTTGGCATTCCGCTATCCTGACATGGATATATTGTGCCGCTACCTAATTTAAAACAGCATTTACTTGTAATTAAAGTCATAGTTTATGAATAAAATACCTGTACTTTAGACACACGGATATCTGTGTGCCTGAACTGAAATTGATTTAAATGGGATAAATCGATGATATCCATGTCGATCAGCTTGAAACACATCATTGCCAGGTATTTGAGCAGCTCGCAAACGCAAGGACCCCTGTAAATGCTCTGAAAATGGACAGGATGAAGTAGAGAAAATCCGGAGATGGTTCGCATTCTAGAGGGTCCCAGACGTTCTAAAACCTTTTCCAAGTGCTGATCAATCGTTTCTGATAAAATTCCTTCGGCTTTTTCACAAAATCTTTGAATTTTTCTGGATATTCCTGACTTTTTCTGAAAAAAAAAGCGCCAAATCTAATTAATCACAATCACATTTTTATTTTTGAAAATAAATGGCTGAGGAACGAGGTTTAGATTCCGCGTAAATGACAGACCGGATAATCCTCGTAGTTTTCATTTAGATGGCCTTAAGTTACGAGGGCTATCCGGCTTACGCTGCTAGGGATCATCCGACCGAGTGTTTACACGGGATCCAAACCGCGGTCCTCAGCCTTTTGTTTTCTAAAATAAAAAAATGTAATTAAGTATAAAAACAAAGGTATAAATATAAATAAATTATTACTCATTAAGTGAAGAACAAAGTGCTGAGATTGTCAGAATCCATCTAAATTCTCTTTATTCAAAGATCTGGCGAAAATATCTGGGAAGATAGAACGGAAAAAGGATTTAACTTGTTACTTGGGCATTTTCTATGTAGTTTTCCTAGAATAAACAAAGCCACGAGTGCAGTACACATCCTCTGGCATTTATTCCTATCTTCGACTGATCCTGATGTGTGCCTGAATGAAAGATATTCTATATTTGAAAAATTAGTTAATCTAACTTACCATTTCTCTAAAAGCTGATTCTAAAATGCCAATATATGGGACAGGTTCCCAATTTATTCCATTAAAATTTACCCATAAAAAATCAAGAGTACATCCAACACAGTCTCAAACTTTTTTCTACTTAAAGGTTTTTTATTTCTAATTAATGCTGCTCTAAAAAGTTGTCTTGAATTCCCCTATCTGTCTTCATTCCACTTCGAGGTTTTGCCAGTGTTTGTACCAACTCAACAAGTAAACTATCATCACCAAATCTTCTTGTTACACCATCTATTAAATAAAATAGACTAATTTCTACCAAAGATCTTAAAAAAATATATTTACCTTCTTTCCTTGCCCAGTAATCGCAGATATATTCAGATAATCTTACTGCATACGCTCATCCGTAAACATCTCAGTCTTTCCTAAATCTCCAGATTTCGGTAGCGCCAGATATTCTCTTCAAATATATTCTTTTCACACGTATCGCACATGCATTTGCTACATACAATTTTCCTAGAATAAACAAAGCCACGAGGGCAGTACACAACATCCTCTGGCATTTATTCCTATCTTCAGCTGATCCTGATAATAAAAATGAAGGAGATACTATATATTTAAAAAATTAGTTAATCTAACATACCATTTCTCTAAACGCTGATTCTGAAGTGCCAATAATTGTCACATTACCCATAAAACGTCTTGTGCATCAACTAATTTTTCATAGAATAGCATTTGTAGACGCCACTACTGGAATAATATTTTTTTATCACACCCTGGACTATCACATGACATCTAAATTTAACTGTATATTCAACTGATTGGCTTTTTCTAATGCTTCTTCAAAGAATCCAAGTGCATCATTGCCATCAAGAGCAACACGGAAAGGGTTTTCTCTAAAATAATTAAGATATTTTTAAATATTTTTTTTTTGGCCACTGTACTTTGGGGAGAATAACAAGCAAGAGTAAATTCAACACAGCCTGTCATACCTGCTAGAATTACACGAAATCACACAATTCGTTAACATCTTCTATCGGACAACAGCGAGGTCATGTTTCTTGGCATTCCGCTATCCTGACATGGATATATTGTGCCGCTACCTAATTTAAAACAGCATTTACTTGTAATTAAAGTCATAGTTTATGAATAAAATACCTGTACTTTAGACACACGGATATCTGTGTGCCTGAACTGAAATTGATTTAAATGGGATAAATCAATGATATCCATGTCGATCAGCTTGAAACACATCATTGCCAGGTATTTGAGCAGCTCGCAAACGCAAGGACCCCTGTAAATGCTCTGAAAATGAACAGGATGAAGTAGAGAAAATCCGGAGATGGTTCGCATTCTAGAGGGTCCCTGACGTTCTAAAACCTTTTCCAAGTGCTGATCAATCGTTTCTGATAAAATTCCTTCGGTTTTTTCAAAATATCTTTGAATTCTTCCGGATATTTCTGACTTTTTTCTGAAAAAAATGCGCCAAATCTAATCACACTTTTATTTTTGAAAATAAATGGCTGAGGAACGAGGTTTGGATTCCGCGTAAATGACAGACCGGATAATCCTCGTAGTTTTCATTTAGATGGCCTTAAGTTACGAGGGCTATCCGGCTTATGCTGCTAGGGATCATCTGACCGAGTGTTTACACGGGATTCAAACCGCGGTCCTCAGCCTTTTGTTTTCCAAGATAAAAAAAATGTAATTAAATATAAAAACAAAGGTATAAATATAAATAAATTATTACTCATTAAGTGAAGAACAAAGTGCTGATATTATCAGAATCCATCTAAATTCTCTTTATTCAAAGATCTGGCGAAAATATCTGGGAAGATAGAACGGAAAAAGGATTTAACTTGTTACTTGGGCATTTTCTATGCAGTTTTCCTAGAATAAACAAAGCCACGAGTGCAGTACACAACATCCTCTGGCATTTATTCCTATCTTCGACTGATCCTGATGAGTGCCTCAATGAAAGATATTCTATATTTGAAAAATTAGTTAATCTAACTTACCATTTCTCTAAAAGCTGATTCTAAAATGCCAATATTTGGGACAGGTTCCCAATTTATTCCATTAAAATCTACCCATAAAAAAATCAAGAGTACATCCAACGCAGGTCGTCATACCTGGTAGAATTACACGGAATCATATAATTAATATCTTCTATTAGACAACAGCGAGGCCGTGTTTCTTGTTATCCCGGCATTGATTAATATAGTTTGCCGCTACCTAATTTAAAACAGCACTTACTTGAAGTTAAGAAGGCATATGGCATACAAACATTACCTTACTTTTTAAGAAATCTACAAAAATTTTTGTAGACAATTTTTTTTCATTAATACGCAAAAAATGCTCTAAAAATCAAATATATATCATTTGTATATAAAAATTTTATAACATATCTAAAAATGCTTTCAATTATAATTTGTTTTTACTGGAAACTGGCTAAATGGCCCACATAAGTTCAAGCCATTTAAAAATAAAGAAGAAGAAAATATATGTCAAATCTGTGGTTC